TTCTCTACTCTGATTAAACGTCTTTGATTCCTTTCAATCACCGGAAGGATCCACCCGATGATTCATCTTCTCGATCATTTCTTTCTGTTTACGGTGCCGAAATAAAAGGTCTTTCTACCCACGGGGTATAAGTAAAAGGAGATTGGGAATGCACAAAATAAAAGCGGTAGAAGACATCCATGATGGATGAGAGATGGACCGAAAAAACTATCGACAAAAGTTATCTCGATACACACACACACACGTATATATATTAAATATCTTTAAAATTCTTTATACGTAGCAAAGAAAGCTTTGACAATGCAAATTTTATCCACTTTTACACTGTTTGTATTCCATTTAAAATTGCTGGAGTAAATTATTTTAAAATATTCCATGTATTTTTTTGTTTAGAAGAGAATGTCAATAGCATTTTCTAATTTACTCGGGGATATAATATTTCTATGAAATATCCGTAATCGGCGGTTAATATGTGTACTGTATATATGATTAGCTTTATTTAATTTTTGAAATAACGTCTCGATTTTCTTCTCTTTAATATAAATTCTTGACAAATTTCTAATCTAAATGCAAAGTAGAATGGCGTCGCGATTTAATTTCCCCGTAAGACAGCGAGAAATTTCTGTGGAGAAATTGTATATATTGGTATTGTATGGAGTGCCTCTCAATAAAAATCCTGCAACGGAACTATTGTTAGCCCGGGGCATTTCTCCCTTTGGCATCGATGCAGGTCATCGCGTAAAAGTGACGTGATCGGACGAAAAAATTCGGAGATAAGGGATCCCGTCTGTTTTAACGTCCTTGTTGTTACCGGGTGCGGCTCCATCGATGAAAGATCCTTCGGGCTTATAACATCCGTCCAAATTGGATATTTAGGACGTTTTATGACGTTTCTTATAAAAATCTCTGCCACCCTCCACCGGTTTTTCCCCTTTTCTTTTTCGAATATTTTTATAATGCAAAATTATTAGTGACAAATTATAACGTTTTGCAATATTAATGTCATAATTTGTTCGACCATTGTTATTGCGTTTAGTTGTTTCGTGTTTTCTTTCTTTATATTTTGTGAAAATCTCGTACGTCATTTCAATGCCCCAATAACCTAGACATTAACAATCATTAAAAAAAGAAAAGACATTTATATGTATTACATATATTTCTTAAGTCTTTCTTTCAATATCGAGATTTCAGGATACGTAGACGGAACTTAAATATTTATCCAAATTATTTTTGGTACATTTTAAGTACTTTCATAAAGATAATACTAAAAAAAATACAATAAAATGAGAGATAATATTACAACTCAGCGATTTTTAGATTAAAAAAAAAAAACAGATTAAATTCTTTAATTGTAGACGATTTTATTAGCGTGTTATTTAGCTTTTTAACAATCGATTATATTATAGTTAAAGTTATTCTCCATTAAGTACTCGAATTAGAGCGTGTGACAAGGAACTTGTTTTGTGGTAGTAAGATCTGTTCATGCTATAACGTCTACCTTGTTGAACAAACAGAAGTAACATAACAAATAGAGAAATACTTACTGTATATCCTAAGGCGACAACTTTCCCGCTTGACCCCAGGCTTGTTTTTCGCTATTCTTCCAAGAACTCTTAAATACAGAAATTGTGTGAATTTTCTTCTCTTTTGTGAAGAAAGAGCGTAGAATTGTGTAATTGTCTTATTTGCTTTACAGAAGAAAAAAAAAAAGCAGTGAAAATCAAGTAGTTTAGTAATGAAGGAGCTGAAGTTATATATAGCTCTATATTTATATATATATACTGCATATATAAATTTACTTTCTTACTTTTTTTCCGCGACTCCTCCTGCTGCAATTTATTCGTTGTAAATAGAAAAAAAAAGTAGTACCACAAGTCTGCATCTAAAATAGAAAAGATGTTATATTCCAAAAAGATTAATCCGTGAAAATATTAAAAAAAAAATAAAGAGTTCTTCCTTAGGAGGTTACGAAAAAAAATAATAATTAATTCGAAATTACGTTAAACATATTTAATATTTACGAAACTCGTTCTAACCATGACACGATTAGAACGTATGTCTGTTGCGCGTATTGAAAAACAAAACTTATCAGTTATTTTTTTTTATATTTGAAAACAAGACAAGACGTTGAGGGATTATTATTAAACAAAGAAAAGGGATTGGCACTCGATTTAATTATCGTGATTAACAACAATCGATTGAACTTGAAGTAGCTAAATTGGGCGGAGTCTAGAGCGGCGGCAATTTTGCGTTTATATTTAGGGTTTTGGGCGGAGTGCCACTCTTATCATCGTTCGGGCGAAGTTGTATGATGGGTGGCGAGTTACCGTATTCCACCCAAAATACTGGTAGCAATCATATATTTATATTTATCCATTATAAGTCAATCTAATAGCGACGAAGCGTAGAATTAAAGATTTTTATCTAAACTTTTCTCAGTAAAATTTTAACCAATGATCTTTCTAATACGAAATTTAAAAATAAAGGAACAACGAATATAATAACGCTGAAAATAAATTATCTTTTAATAAAGCTCTGCATCGAAATTCATATTGTCTAGACAACTTTTTCATCTTATTAGATGTAATAACTTTTCCCATTATTCTTATATATATATATATATATTTTGAGTTTTTAATTATTAGAATTTTATTTTACTAAGTCTAAGAAATGAAACTTTGATTTTACTACTTTTATAATTCCTTTATATCCATATTTTTTGATTATATTAATACCAAATGATCTTGTTATAAAATAGATATTTGAATTTGTTGCATTTAGACTAGTCGAAAGATCAATAATGTATTTAAATACGACTCCATCGTAGTCCAAAATGGATAAATTATATTGTGTAATACACAGAACAGGTAAGACCTACATCTCAAACACTGTTGATAGCCTTCGGTGAATCACGTACTGTACAATTACGAAATTGCCAAATATTCGTCGAATTACTATACAAAATATGGATAAAATACTCTCTTTGGAATAAATTATAATGTTTTTAAATTACCCATCTTTTGAAATATTCACTGGCTTATATTCGTCTGATGGAGAAAATATAGAATCAAAGTTTCATGGTTCGTATTTTGATAAGCCAAAACATACGTAGGAATATAGGACTGGTTACGAAATATAGACATAACTATGAAATATAAAACTTATGTGTATATATAAATAGCATATTCTGTTTTTTGTTTATATAACTTTCGTCTCGAAAGACAGTTAATTATAGAATCTAAAGCAGTTTGTTCTTTAACAGGTTGCTCCAAGTTACCGTCCTAGCGTGTATGTACAGTTCACCAATGGTAAGTTTCACATGTCTGTAACACGTGCTGTTGTCCGAGTATAATGTTACTGTAGGAATGTATTTCAAAAAGACCAGTATGACCCGATGGCTGTTAACGTTACTAGGTATGCGTATTCTACTCTGCATACCACGTCCACAGATATTCATCTGGTCGACGATGACTGATGGTTCCTTTATGAAAGGTTGTTCCAGTAAAATATCCAGTTCGAGTTACGCTATTCAATTATGCTAATCATTAACGTTTAACTTTTAATTGATTACTCCGTTAACTTTTTGAAACCTGATCTTATCGGTAATTTAACTAATTTAAATGGATTTTTTTTTTCCGAAAATCTTAATTATTATTGATTTTTATAAAATCGATTATAAATGTAATAAAAAGAAACTAATTATTTATCAAAATAATTACTACANTATTCCGACACGAGGAAAGAAAGTCTCTCTCTCTCGGCCACTTTTTCCGACGTCGATAAAATTGTCTGGTTAGAAACTCGTAATTTTATTACCGTCCGAGTAACTTTAATGACTCGATAATCGCTCGTGGTATGCGGACTAATGCAATTAAAGATAATAATAATTATAATTTAATTAGACGAAAATATTTGTAATAACGATTTTAATTTCAATAAAACAAAATCCATGGCAATTTAAGGCACGTAGATATAATTTCTAAAAGATGGAGCGTGTGTTATTTCCAGTATATGTAACACATCGGTAGTATGGACTTTCGATCAGATAAAATTTCTATCTCGTTAGACAATCATATTTCATTAGGGGATGGAATATTGACTCGTTCTTCTATAATTAGGTGTGGATTCGCATCTTATTCATTGTAATAATCGGGAATGGGAAGAGACAATAAAAGCGTTACACAAACGATAAGTAAATTGTACACACCTCGTCATCGCGGACCACCAACGGTGTATCGCCCGTGACGTCAGCCCTTACACATTCGCCACCCGACAAAATTTTGCTCGAATATTTTCTTTTCCTGTCTATTAAAAAAGGATTTTAAATAAATTGTTCTTAATAAGATAAATGACATTTAACGCCTACGCATTCGACTCGTACGTAAATAATACTCTTAATTTCCATCCGATAATTATATTCTTCCGTTCTTTTCCAAGAGGAACTTTTACAGATAAAGTTGCTTTTTTGTATTGTTTCATTTTCACAGTAAATGCTTTTGCACCTACGATAACGTTAGTTACTACCTTGCCTACATATAATAAACCGTAAGTGGAGAAAAGTGATTATTTCGTATTTTCATGGGTAGAATTGGCTTAAAGTATTCGCATTTACAGAGGAAAATGCAATAACCGGCGATGGTTTCTTGTAAGACGAGCAAAGACACGTCGAAAGGGGAATTTTCTGGTTTAAACTGGAGCGGAAGATTGCATTAGTCACCAGGGCTGACGTCAACAAAGAAAGGGTTCGAATCGGGTGGGGCGCCGCGGGATTAGGCGCGGGATTGGGGTGAAAAATCGGCGGTGGCCGTTCCCCAGGTAGCCGGAGGCGCAGACGATCTTAGTCTTTCCGTCACCTCGGCAACTGCCGTCCCCGAGGCGAGGTGAAACGCGGGAAAGCCGAGCCAATCGCTGCCATTGGACGGACCGGCTGTATCACGTGACGCAGCTACGTCTGTTGATATCGTACCGGCAGTTATACGGATAGTCAGTCCGAACAAGCGGTGGCTTCTAGTAAGCAAGGATTCTCGTGTATAAGCCAGATGCCGCTGGCTTGGAAAGCATGAAAAACGGGCCGAACTGTGCCAATCTCGATCCAAGGATTATCGAAACGTCAGCCGACGGCACCGTCGCCGTTATTCATCCAATAGAGTCTCCGGCCAAAGATTGGATATTGCCCGCGCCTTGCGCGCGAGGTGGTCAGTTGAAGGTGGTGGGGGTCTACGGTGCCACCACCCGTGTCGACCTACTATATTTGGAGACGAGGGTCTCCATGCCTTCTGTATGAAAATCCATGTTCATAACCAAGTAAGTACCGATCTCGGCCCTAACGGTTCGTCTCGTCCGTCCGCTCTAAAGTATCTTTCGGTCACTCCGGACCGGTTTTCCGCCATTTACCGACGCGTTTTTCGGACGGGGCTGCGCGCGTGCGACCTTAAATAACGCGCGGTCGGACGCGATCTTGGTTACTTCCTGGCCTGGGTACTTTCGACTCGCCGGGTGGCCGCGCTACGGTCGCCCGGGCGGTGTTACTTAGTCACCGCAGGTACCTTCTCTCTCTCTCTTAGGGCTAACAGGTTGGGTGTGGCGGAGCGCCTCTCTGCCTAAAATTCGAAACCTTTTTCTACGCGCGATTTTTTCCACCTTATTCATCTTTCTTCTTTACCATTGGTTAAATAATAGTGACATCACAAGTTCCTCCTCTCGGCACAAGCTATAAATATACATATAAGCCTGGCTAAATTAGTAGAATGCTCCGATTTACGGCCGGCCGTGCGACAAAGTTCTGTCGCCTTTTAACCTTAGAAAATCGCGTTTAATAAAGTTTTTCTTTCGGTCGACCCCGTGGAAAATTTCGGAAGACCCAATTCCATACGATTTGCAGATTCGAATTAGGTGTATTTGAAGGTTTTGGCTGGTATGTGTGGCATGTACGAACTAATTTGTCCCAGGTGGTAATAGGAAGGCACGTTAGGGACTCGTACCCTCGAGCGACGGTACAGGGGTTATGGAATGAAGCTGTCAGCTCTTTCGGGCGATACGCATTGGGATTAAAGGAGTACTCTATTGTACGGTCACTCCCTCGAGTGTCGTCAGGAACGGGAGAAAGGATGTCTTCATTAATTTCCTGGTAGCAAACGTTAAGCCCGGGCTGATTAAGGTCCGATATTTCCCGGATAAATAATATATTTCGCTTCCTGACTTTAATTACGTTCGATTAATTTATTTTTTGGCCGAGGGAGCGTTTAAAGCCACGATGGTCGGTAACGAACTTAATGACGCTACGCACCCCTCGGTAAAAAACAATTAGACGAAAATCGACTTGGAAAGCACGTTTGTAGGCGGACGGACATTTATTGATACACTAGCAGACGGGAGCAATAGCCGCCGTCTCTTAATAGGTAAAGCAATACTCGGTGACGTCACTCGGACAGTAGTAAATTTATCCACCGTCCACACTTATTTTTGCTTTTGAAAGAAATAAAAGGAAACGAATCGATAGCGGCGCAAATTTTTTCCCATTTAATCGGCACTTTTTTCCTTAAAAGCGAGAGCGCGCAGACGGACTCTATTCAAGGTCGTCACCCGCCGAGAGGTGTAATGTTCGCACCTATAGCTTGCAATTTAGCGCAGTAGCATGGTCCGTGGCAGTAGTCAAAACAAACAACCAAAGGAATCCACCCGCTCGTAATGGAACTCGAAATATTTAATAAACCAGAAACTATTCCGGTTTACAGAATAGGAAAATTTTCCAAAATTCTTTGTGCAGTCTTCGAGAACCACGTGTTACGCGGTCGCTTCTGTCTTCGCTACCACTTTGACCCGGAGGCGATCTTTTCGTCGTAGCGGTCACGTCACGAGTGGGACGGAGGCCGCATTGTCGGGAAACTGGAAAGTTTTTCGCCGGACACCCAACGAACTATTCCGACACGAGGAAAGAAAGTCTCTCTCTCTCTCGGCCACTTTTTCCGACGTCGATAAAATTGTCTGGTTAGAAACTCGTAATTTTATTACCGTCCGAGTAACTTTAATGACTCGATAATCGCTCGTGGTATGCGGACTAATGTAGAGAGACGTTGCAAAATATCTATTTAAATTTTCCGACATTTAAAAGTTAAGAAAGTCGTTACGTCATAGCTGGAAATTTATCTCTTCCTTTCTATTTACATTCCTTTATTCCAAACGATTTCGACCAAAGTTATTATAACGGAGAAAGAATTTGTTGGATGAAATCGAACTCGTTTCGGTTCAAATTTCTGTTATTACAATTATTTGTTTATTTGACAATTCGTTTAGTTACAAATAATTTTCGTCATCCATTCGTCATTCGCGCGTGCCCGTTAACGAGGGGAGTGGAAACGACGTAAGAGACAGAGATTTTGGCTATCGAAGAAAGGAAAAAAATAAATATATATTATTTACGTATCCGGTCGATTTTTCGAACTACGCTCTTTGACCCGCACTCTATGATTTTTGAATGATCGTACGGCCATTTTTGACATCAAAATTTATGTCTTCTCTACATATTACGTTCCGGATAAGTTGCGAAGGTTTAGTGTCTGCTGGACTCTGAACTAGTCTGTCCTGGTCCATCGGAGAAAGACCGCGGCGCTATCTTGTTAATATAAAAAAAACACCGATCGATTTAAAGAAAGAAAAGAATAGTTTTTGTGTTGGTAGTGTCCGAAGCCAGAAGTTTGGCCGTAAAGTCGTCGAAACCTTGGACAATTAAAGAGAAGAATGAGTTTGCTGTTTTACAACCAACGCGTGTGGTTACTGTCTGAGATAACGGAGTGATAGCGATGGAATTCGGAGCGAGTGCAACGAACCACCATTGCGGGACTATTCAAAGATTTCCATTAATCGAAATTAACGAGAAAAATTTTTATTTCATTCAAATAAATCTATAATTAATTACATTTTATAAATCGAACCCGATTCCTTGGATGGAATTTTTATTCGCTTCGCCTCCTTTAAATTCGTTTTGGGATGTCGACTGCATCAAAAAAGCAATTCCAATGTTTTATTTATTTTATTCTCTAACTTTTTTTTTCTAAACAAACAAATTCCTATTACAAATTATAACATTTCCGGTAATAAGCATTTCCCAATCATCTTTTGTGTATGGGGGAAGTTTTCGTGACGTCAGTTCTATTTTTTTTTCGATACGAGATAAGGGACATTAATTTAAAATATTTGCATGTTACATGTCGAACAGATATATGTTTCGAACTTATCGGAAAGGAAGGTGTTTTTTGCGTCGAACAATAGAGGCGGTGTATACGAGAAGAGTGTAAGTGGAGTTTCATTTAATATTAACTCGAGTAAAAGAAGTTACGCGTAACGTATTCGACCCATATAATGTTATTGAAACGAAAACTGCGCCAATTTCTCGCCCGACGACGATCGAAAGACGATACGCAACCCTATTTTTAGGTATTGGATGCCACCGCTTTTGCTCCATCGATCGTTACTACGCGTGGATATCGCGTAACTTTATTGTAATTCTCGATAACTCTTCGAAGGCAATTAACTCCGACTTTTAAAATGATCGTAGAGCCAGACAAAAAGACAGCCTTATCTGGTTTTAAATACCCTTTTATAGTTAATTAAAATCGTCCTAATAAGTATAAAACGATAAAAAAAAAAGAATTTTTATTTTCTAACCGACGTATTATTATTTTTTTATAGTCGAGATTATAAGGAGCGATATAAGATTATGAAAATCGTTATTACGTCGTTGGGATTTTATTCTCTACTCTGATTAAACGTCTTTGATTCCTTTCAATCACCGGAAGGATCCACCCGATGATTCATCTTCTCGATCATTTCTTTCTGTTTACGGTGCCGAAATAAAAGGTCTTTCTACCCACGGGGTATAAGTAAAAGGAGATTGGGAATGCACAAAATAAAAGCGGTAGAAGACATCCATGATGGATGAGAGATGGACCGAAAAAACTATCGACAAAAGTTATCTCGATACACACACACACACGTATATATATTAAATATCTTTAAAATTCTTTATACGTAGCAAAGAAAGCTTTGACAATGCAAATTTTATCCACTTTTACACTGTTTGTATTCCATTTAAAATTGCTGGAGTAAATTATTTTAAAATATTCCATGTATTTTTTTGTTTAGAAGAGAATGTCAATAGCATTTTCTAATTTACTCGGGGATATAATATTTCTATGAAATATCCGTAATCGGCGGTTAATATGTGTACTGTATATATGATTAGCTTTATTTAATTTTTGAAATAACGTCTCGATTTTCTTCTCTTTAATATAAATTCTTGACAAATTTCTAATCTAAATGCAAAGTAGAATGGCGTCGCGATTTAATTTCCCCGTAAGACAGCGAGAAATTTCTGTGGAGAAATTGTATATATTGGTATTGTATGGAGTGCCTCTCAATAAAAATCCTGCAACGGAACTATTGTTAGCCCGGGGCATTTCTCCCTTTGGCATCGATGCAGGTCATCGCGTAAAAGTGACGTGATCGGACGAAAAAATTCGGAGATAAGGGATCCCGTCTGTTTTAACGTCCTTGTTGTTACCGGGTGCGGCTCCATCGATGAAAGATCCTTCGGGCTTATAACATCCGTCCAAATTGGATATTTAGGACGTTTTATGACGTTTCTTATAAAAATCTCTGCCACCCTCCACCGGTTTTTTCCCTTTTCTTTTTCGAATATTTTTATAATGCAAAATTATTAGTGACAAATTATAACGTTTTGCAATATTAATGTCATAATTTGTTCGACCATTGTTATTGCGTTTAGTTGTTTCGTGTTTTCTTTCTTTATATTTTGTGAAAATCTCGTACGTCATTTCAATGCCCCAATAACCTAGACATTAACAATCATTAAAAAAAGAAAAGACATTTATATGTATTACATATATTTCTTAAGTCTTTCTTTCAATATCGAGATTTCAGGATACGTAGACGGAACTTAAATATTTATCCAAATTATTTTTGGTACATTTTAAGTACTTTCATAAAGATAATACTAAAAAAAATACAATAAAATGAGAGATAATATTACAACTCAGCGATTTTTAGATTAAAAAAAAACAGATTAAATTCTTTAATTGTAGACGATTTTATTAGCGTGTTATTTAGCTTTTTAACAATCGATTATATTATAGTTAAAGTTATTCTCCATTAAGTACTCGAATTAGAGCGTGTGACAAGGAACTTGTTTTGTGGTAGTAAGATCTGTTCATGCTATAACGTCTACCTTGTTGAACAAACAGAAGTAACATAACAAATAGAGAAATACTTACTGTATATCCTAAGGCGACAACTTTCCCGCTTGACCCCAGGCTTGTTTTTCGCTATTCTTCCAAGAACTCTTAAATACAGAAATTGTGTGAATTTTCTTCTCTTTTGTGAAGAAAGAGCGTAGAATTGTGTAATTGTCTTATTTGCTTTACAAAAGAAAAAAAAAGCAGTGAAAATCAAGTAGTTTAGTAATGAAGGAGCTGAAGTTATATATAGCTCTATATTTATATATATATACTGCATATATAAATTTACTTTCTTACTTTTTTTCCGCGACTCCTCCTGCTGCAATTTATTCGTTGTAAATAGAAAAAAAAAGTAGTACCACAAGTCTGCATCTAAAATAGAAAAGATGTTATATTCCAAAAAGATTAATCCGTGAAAATATTAAAAAAAAAATAAAGAGTTCTTCCTTAGGAGGTTACGAAAAAAAATAATAATTAATTCGAAATTACGTTAAACATATTTAATATTTACGAAACTCGTTCTAACCATGACACGATTAGAACGTATGTCTGTTGCGCGTATTGAAAAACAAAACTTATCAGTTATTTTTTTTTATATTTGAAAACAAGACAAGACGTTGAGGGATTATTATTAAACAAAGAAAAGGGATTGGCACTCGATTTAATTATCGTGATTAACAACAATCGATTGAACTTGAAGTAGCTAAATTGGGCGGAGTCTAGAGCGGCGGCAATTTTGCGTTTATATTTAGGGTTTTGGGCGGAGTGCCACTCTTATCATCGTTCGGGCGAAGTTGTATGATGGGTGGCGAGTTACCGTATTCCACCCAAAATACTGGTAGCAATCATATATTTATATTTATCCATTATAAGTCAATCTAATAGCGACGAAGCGTAGAATTAAAGATTTTTATCTAAACTTTTCTCAGTAAAATTTTAACCAATGATCTTTCTAATACGAAATTTAAAAATAAAGGAACAACGAATATAATAACGCTGAAAATAAATTATCTTTTAATAAAGCTCTGCATCGAAATTCATATTGTCTAGACAACTTTTTCATCTTATTAGATGTAATAACTTTTCCCATTATTCTTATATATATATATATATATTTTGAGTTTTTAATTATTAGAATTTTATTTTACTAAGTCTAAGAAATGAAACTTTGATTTTACTACTTTTATAATTCCTTTATATCCATATTTTTTGATTATATTAATACCAAATGATCTTGTTATAAAATAGATATTTGAATTTGTTGCATTTAGACTAGTCGAAAGATCAATAATGTATTTAAATACGACTCCATCGTAGTCCAAAATGGATAAATTATATTGTGTAATACACAGAACAGGTAAGACCTACATCTCAAACACTGTTGATAGCCTTCGGTGAATCACGTACTGTACAATTACGAAATTGCCAAATATTCGTCGAATTACTATACAAAATATGGATAAAATACTCTCTTTGGAATAAATTATAATGTTCTTAAATTACCCATCTTTTGAAATATTCACTGGCTTATATTCGTCTGATGGAGAAAATATAGAATCAAAGTTTCATGGTTCGTATTTTGATAAGCCAAAACATACGTAGGAATATAGGACTGGTTACGAAATATAGACATAACTATGAAATATAAAACTTATGTGTATATATAAATAGCATATTCTGTTTTTTGTTTATATAACTTTCGTCTCGAAAGACAGTTAATTATAGAATCTAAAGCAGTTTGTTCTTTAACAGGTTGCTCCAAGTTACCGTCCTAGCGTGTATGTACAGTTCACCAATGGTAAGTTTCACATGTCTGTAACACGTGCTGTTGTCCGAGTATAATGTTACTGTAGGAATGTATTTCAAAAAGACCAGTATGACCCGATGGCTGTTAACGTTACTAGGTATGCGTATTCTACTCTGCATACCACGTCCACAGATATTCATCTGGTCGACGATGACTGATGGTTCCTTTATGAAAGGTTGTTCCAGTAAAATATCCAGTTCGAGTTACGCTATTCAATTATGCTAATCATTAACGTTTAACTTTTAATTGATTACTCCGTTAACTTTTTGAAACCTGATCTTATCGGTAATTTAACTAATTTAAATGGATTTTTTTTTTCCGAAAATCTTAATTATTATTGATTTTTATAAAATCGATTATAAATGTAATAAAAAGAAACTAATTATTTATCAAAATAATTACTACATCTTTTTAAAATACAATCCTATTATAAATTTTTTATAGGTTTTTTAAAGAAAAAACAATTTTTGTTTATTGTTATGCATAATTTAAATATAAAATTTAATTATATTTATGTACATTATTTAAATATTCCATCATCTTCGTGAACTGTAACACTGAAAACACAGACTCATCAAACAGCAGTTTGAATCACTAGAAAGAGATTCCTAAAATAATATTTGCTATTTTTGTAATGTTACAAAAAAAACCCTTCGAAAAGATTTTTATATTTGGGGAAAGAGAAAAAAAAAATACATTTTTCTTTTTATAAAAGAATTTCTTTATTTTTATTTTTTGTGTTTTGGAACACGCAATAAAATAAAAATAAAAACTACTGGTAAGTTATTTTAAAGATGTTCTTTAGTTACATTACTTATATATATATTATTATAGAAGGAAAGAACAAATCATAAAAAGTTTTTTAAAAAAAAACTAAATATAGAAATATTAATTAAATCTAAAGTTTCTTAAAATTAAAGTTATTTTGGACAGGTAGTGATAGACGACCCCTTAGCAATGTTAAGATGTTAAATCTAATTGGAAGTGACAGTAGTGGAAGATTACTATAATTAACAAATCCCTAAAGGCACGGGAGATAAGATAACTAAAAAAAAAATTAACATAAAAGTAACTTTAAAATAAGTGATAAGAATTTTGGAGATAAAAAAAATAAAATCTCTTATGTCGAGCGGTAATAGTAAGTAAATAAGTTAAAAAATTTTTGACCAGCCCAGATCCTTTGAGAACGATAGATAGATAGCCATAGTAATTTAAACCATTTGACAATTTTCCAACCCGGTTTACTATTTCATCATATACTTTGTCCAGACATTGGTTTCATTCCACGCTTTACAGATAGATTTAATAGATGGGAGCCATTCGAAATAGGTTAAAGCTCAGTAACTAGAATCATGTCTAAGCGCTTACACATAAAATCGAGTATAATGTAAATAAAAATTAAGTACGGCATTCTACATGGGTTAGATATACAGCCATTGGGCAAAGTTCTACGTGTATTCCCTAGAAAGGCGTGTGTAGAATATGAAATTAGAAACACTGTTTAAATGCTCACATTGGAATAGATTTTCGATATAATAATGGAATTAACTACAATAGTTCAACTTCTTTTACTTAATTGGAAGATTTAAACTCGACCCGTTGCTCGACTTTCATTAATTATGTTTAAACAATACTTTTACAGTTCTATTATTTTCTTACATTTAGATCTTCTTTTATTATTTAAAATGTTAAATAAATAATAAATAGATAAGAGATGAAAGTAGAAAAATTTTAATTCTTTATTATAAAATTATAGCTTATATTATTAAATTGTATAAATACTCAGCTTTTTCTGAAAGAATGAAACATTAGCCGTCTAAAAGGCTATCATTATAACAGTACGGAGCCTGCAGCGATGCAAATGCAACTAACTTGTTGACAAGTCTTGATAGGTGTTCACAATTAACCAATCACTGGATGCGACTAGATTAAGAACAGCAAAGGATCACAATAATTTACATACATTAAGTTTGATTGTGTTGAGCTCCTTGTGTATTTTACAACGATTTGTCTTTTACGGCGGCGTCAAGAATAATGGATAATTGTTCCGTACACTTAAGTGTTATGCAATTTGACAAATCTGTGTCACTTAAAAAATAAAGGTAAAACGATTAAATTATCGTCAAAGATCTGTTAATATATTATTATTTATTGCTAGTTGTATAGGGTTTATATAAAATGTTTCTTACCAATTAAATAAATAATAATGATAATTTTTATATCTATTAATTAGTACTTTAATTATCTTTACTTCTAAGTACATTTTAAAATGCAGTATTTTTATCTCGCGGGGAAGAGATTAAAAAAATAAAAGCCAAGCTAATTTTATTCGTAAAATACTAACAAAATGTTTATATATAGAAAAAATGTTATTTAGAAAGCGCTTATTTAAATAGGCAGGAAGGATATCGAAACAAAAAAAAAGTACTTTGGTTAGTCGGGAAGTGAATGACATTCGATACAGAGCGAGAACAATATTTGCCGTCGAAGTCGTACTAGTCATTATTTCCCCAAACGTCTGGAGCTAGAGGGAAATAGCCCATTAGCTGCAAACTCGACTCGGAATCAGTTAAAAGAATAACGAGTTTTCTACCAGCATTCTTGATTAGGCATTGTGGCTTAATTACTTTTTACCATTTAAATAATTCGGATTAAAAAACAAAAATGTTATTTTAGGAATCTCGTACTTAAAAATCGACGTAAACGAATAAAGTTTATCGCAAGTATTAGAGTAGTGTTTGAATGGGTAGCCCTAAGGCGATTTTACATAGCTTGCGATAGCGATTTGCGATGAGAAATAAATAGCGAATTTTATTTATAAGAGAGAAGCGGTGAAATGCTACTACAGAGATAGAGTTTAGCACATGGCAATACTCGCGAAGCGTTATAAATCGGTAATGCTAATATTTTTATTATTATTAATGTTACATTCGAGTCAAAAGACGACGGTGGGTTCATTTCATTTACTATTATACAAAAGAAACATTTCTCTCTTCATTTATTCTTCATTTGATGACAGATACATAAATACATAAAGTAATTGATCCCATTCCATTTCATTATTTCCACTACAACCATTTATAATTTTCGCTGCAATTGCTGTCTTTATATTCTGACATAATTGTTGACGTGTCTTTGTCTTCAGGTTTCTTATTTTATAACAACAGTGACCAGGTTAATTTTTCTCCGTGCGAGCGACGTCGTATTTCACTCGTTTGTCGCTGCGAGTATATCGAGCGAGAACGAGTTAGCTAGAAAAATCTCGTCGCCGAAAGTTACGATGTTTTCGATCGCTAGTGCGACAAATTATTAGCAATTTTCTTGTCGATTCTCGCAAATCGCTGGCTATGTGAAACCGCCTTTAGCAAAACGGGGTTGGCCCGGGAGTCGAAACCCCCTTAGGCACTCCAGCGTGGAACTGTCCCGACGGATTCGCGAGTAGCCATTGGGGCACCGCTTATAAAAATGTCCTATAAACCTAGTGGCGGTCTTGTTCTCACGTCGTTGGCGGGGGGTACACACTCCGTTCGACGTACGCCGCCGACTCGACCGATCGTAAAGAGTCCGCCGACACGTATTAGACACCTGTTTATGTTGTCGTTAAGCCATCTAACTCCGCAATATCCTTGGCGGTTTTTAATGGGATTTTCTCTTTTATTGTTACCGTGGCTTTTCTTTTCTACAAAATGTTTCACAAATGCGGAATGTCACCACGTCGACTTGGCACCTGCATCTTTTCTATCTTAGCGATCGAACCGATATTTTACGTCGCGTAATAATATTATATGATATACTTCAATGCTGATTATTAATCTTAGGTGTTGTGTCAGGACGTTGCGAGCGGTCTGGTCAAAGGAGCAGAAAATCTTCCTGGAAGCATAACAGGTGCCGATGTCAAAAGATACTCCTTGTTATATAACCAGTGCAGTCGAAAGCATCTGAGTATCGTAGGAAAAAATATAACCGCTTTGGGTGTTGACCAATCTCCTTTCGGTAAGTATTTCGTTTCCTTTTATTATATTACTTAAACTCTTTTACTAAAATTCCTAATAATTTCGAGGAAAGGAATGAGAACTCAAAGAATAAATCCTTTTAAATCTTACATTAGGGATTCTATTTCTTTTCTTTGTATTAAACAACAATACACATAGGGATAAGGACAAAAGAAACAATAATAATAAATTGTTATTCTATTCCAGAATTTTTTTGTATCTGGCAGAACTGTTACAGAGTACAGAGTTATTTAATATATATATATATATTAAAAATTGAAGCCTTCGAGGCCCCAATTAGATGCTCGAAGGCTTGGAAGTAGTAGCAAAGAAAAATCTCAGTCTCTGCCAATCTCTGAAACACATTCCGCTGGAAGCGATACTATTTTAAATTCCTATCGTAATAACACTTCGTAACGTTTTTAATAGCTCATGACATCTGTCATAGAGCAAAATCGAAGCAGAAAAAAATGTTTAAGGTCAGAATAATTTACGTCTGCCAATCGTCTAACTTGAACGAATGGGTGGTTCTACAAAACTGCACGGCTTTAGTCACTAAAATTAGGGTGTAAATTTAGCATGATTCACTGATTAGTTTGACCTTGTAACACTAAAAATTTATACAGTTTTATGATATGCTTAATATAGTTAAATATAGTAAATCAATCATTACCCTTTTTTTTTCTGCTCCAATTATTGATCGAACACCTGCCTAAAAAATACCTGCCTCTTTATTAAGAAAAGACACACCTGCGTTGGCCTCGGGGTAAAAATAATGTTTTAGTGTTATCCAATTGAATTTTTATGAGAGTTTTAAAATCTTATTAAAATGATATATGTATTTCTGGTAGTATTTATAAATCAGAGCCGCTAATCAAGTAAACAAAAGTATTCAAGGTCGTGGATGAGTCTTATCTGCTGCGATTACTTGTCCTCCATTATCTTCTTACTTAATTTACAGCTAACCACATATCAATAATCAACTGCAGGGGGTCTTTAGCGTTGGGACACTACTTCTTATCCTCTCAGTGGGGTAGGGATAACAGACCCCGTGCTGTCTGTAAGATAAATTTGCTGTTAAGGAATTTTTTCGGTTTTTCTCCTATCGTTTAGTAGGGATTTTTAGCGATGACTTTGCATAAATAAGGAAAAAAACCAGGCAGTTACTTTAAGAAAAGAATAGTAATTTTATTGATATAAGCTGTACTTACTATTCAGAATTTATGGTAGGATTAATAAGAAAAAAATTCATATTTTCCTATCTGATTATAGTTATTTTAAATGTTATAGTGATTAATAATAATATAAATTTATTGTTACCGGTGGAAAGTATAGGAACGTACTGAGGTTTTTTCGTAATAACTTATACTATTTAGATTATAATATAAATCTACATAATATATACACTGTATAAGTGAAAATGTTATTTTAATATGTGATTTTTTTTCGTTTGTTTTTTCTCTAGCCAATATGAGTCTTGAGACAGTGGTGCGAAAAAATACCATAGGACTGAAAATAATGGGCTTGAATTCTGGCCGCTACCTTTGTTTTAATAAAAGAGGAAAACTCATAGCAAGGGTAAGAATCTCGATCTTTATCAAACAAATTCAAATTCAGAGATACAATTAAAAAAATCTGTTATATATACGTTACTTAACTTGGTCGAACGGTAGATAGTTACTTAGCAGAGTCCATTATTTGTTCTCGGAGTGGGTCGTTTATTATTTGGTCCCACAAAGTCCCGATGTAAGGGTATTGGGCGTGTTTTACCGACCACCCTAGCCGAAACACCATTAACCCTGGCCAGACGTGATCGCTGCCGATGGTTGGCGATTAGAAAAGCCAGCAGACAAACGTGGCGTCGACTTTGACTACCACAGCAATCTGTCAAACAGAGATGTCTTACTTTGCTGTTTACGCCTGAGGAAAGCCCCAAAACCCCATTAAAGAAAAAGATGGTGGACGATAGAAAAGACTATATCACCTACGATCTTTCTAGTCTCTGTAAAATCAATAATACCAATTCACTCTTTCCTAGGATATCTCTTTCTTCCGCTGGCCATTTCCATAAATAATTTCGAAATTTACTATTCCTTCTTGGTAGTGTATTATAGACATTCGAATTCTGTATTAGACTCCATTATTTAAACTATAAACACATTGAAAATATTATGAAAATCTTATATGAAATTCGTCCAAATTATTTTCTTTCTTCTCCTTTAAGTGTATTTAAGAAATAAAAGTAAGGCTAAGTATTTATTTATTTGAATAATAAACAAGATTACAGCGTAGTTCATACTACAACGCAACTTTTCGTTATATTCCAACAGAAATAAAAAAAAAGATTTCCGTATTTAAAAAATATGAATATTTACGATCCGTCAACTTATGAATAATACAAAACGGACGAAAGAAATCATCTTAATGTAATGTCAGATCAGAAAGTTATTGTTCTAGAAGTTGTAGAACTACCTTAAGAGAGACGTAACAATTTGTCGTACTGTTTGCACAATGACACGTTTGCACGCTAACATCAGTAATCTATAGTGTCCCTACTTCCTGTATAGAAGTTAGATACCTTCCTAATTGGAGTAAAATATAGTAATGTTTGCAGGAGAAAACCATTACGTAGTTCTTAACAGTAGATTGCAACCTTGACTTCCTTGTAATTACGTTGGGAAACTGGATTTTAAAGACCACACCGAGTGATAAGATTATATTTGTGGTCAGTCTTTGTCTGTAGTTGAAAAAATATTGAATATTTTTTTATTTTTACATATATGTGAGTATAAATTAGAAATTTTTCTACGATTTCATAACATCGACTTTTCTTTTGCTATCTTTACAGATATCTTGTTTATGCAATAACTAACCGAAATCTGACCTCGATGAGGCAGTAGATAAAGAAAGGGAGTTCGTAAATCTAATATTCCCCTCTTCCCCCTTACGGCTCCTTTTATCTAACGTTTCATTTCTATTTTTCTTAATCCCTGTGTTGACTTCTAAAAGAAAAAAAAGAAGAAAAAAATGGGTTGCCCAAGGCTCTACATAGAAATTGAGGCCTTTTTAACTTCGTCATCACAAAATCTCCTCCATTGTAACCGATCAAAGAGCATCGGGATAATTTTTATCGTCAGCTCAATTAAAAGAAGGAAAGAATTTGTCATTATAAAAAATAAGCGAGTTTTATTAGTAATCAACACCCAGCCCCTGGCCCCATTTTACCTTGAGGTTGTGGTGTGAGGAGAAGCTGGTCCGTGATCCTATGCTTTTATTTGTAAAATAATAATGATTTTATATAAACGAAACTAACAAAAAGTCCCAGTTGCTACCTTCCATATATCTCTATAAGTTTAACTTAGATTTATCTTTGCAAATATTGACAGTTTCTACTGTTTGGTATTCTGACGTCAGTTGACGTGCCATCTTTCCGTCACGTGAATATAAAAGTGATGTGAAATATTAGACGAATGCGTAATTTATAAACCTAAAGATAAATTATTACCACATTTTATATGGATACGTAATTTTTCTAAAGTTAAATAAAGAAATACAGTATTTCGAAAGTCTAAAATTGTCGAGTTGTTATCGATTGTGTCATTGACTCGTCCAGATGATTTTTATATATCGTGTGAGTGACATTGGATGACATCATTAAATATTGATAGTTTTTCTCCTATTAAAATCGATTGATAATGATACTAATAACCCTGTTTAGTTGAGAAAGTATTTTTGGAATTGAAAATTAAATAAATCTTATCGCGAAAGTATTGTTTAAATTTATAATACGATGATATATTGTTGACTAATTTTTATTTTTATTTATTTATTTATAGTTTGTAGGAGAAAACAAAAGGTGTTTATTTAAAGAAGTACTCAGTCCAGACATGTATACCAAATTTCAGTCACTTTATAACTCCGACTGGTTCGTGGGTTTTAATAAAAAAGGCAAACCACTTAAAGGTAAACCAGATCGTCACAAGGGGAAGAGACATTGTTTTTCATTTATCAAAAGAGGATTCTCTTATTTAACCATTCATTCGAATCAACCCGGACCTAAGATGCCAGACGATCCATCGAAACTTTTTGCTAAAGAAACAGAAAAAACTCACGAAAGGAAAGTTACAAAAAGGGACAAGAAACGTCCTTTCAGATAAACTTCTGCATCCCAAGCATCGGGCTGGAACCCGTAGCTCATAAGTGTGCGTGTGTGTGCAGTGCGTGTGCGTGTGCTAATGGAACTACGATATTAAAAATTAATATTGGATACACTACAAGAGTACATTATTTAGATTTAGGGCCATTCGTGGCCTTGTGCATTTATCGAGACCAATGTGGCATGGATGTACAGTACCAGTATATCGAGGCTCTCTTCATAGTGGACTACTTCTTTGTATTGTGTGCAAAACCAAACATTGTTCGCTATTGTTGTTGCCATTATTTTGATCATTTTAATAAAACGGGTCCTTTCAATTATACATTCCTCGCGCACTGATCTTTGTTTGTTTTTTTTTTTAAGTCAAGAGAAGCTTGATAAATTTTTTTAAATGGGAACATCTTATACTATATGTATATAAATACATACATACGTATGTGTATGTATATATATACATACATATATATGTAATTATGTTCCGATAAATTGTTTCATATTTATTTACTATAATTCTGTAAAATATAACATGCAGTGTGTTCTTCGTTTAACTCGTGAGTTTATACACTTATTAAAATAACGTTTCTAAAAGTTGTATTCGTCAAAAATTAATAATGAACATACTATATAAGTAAAATAACGAAAATAATCAAATGGAAACACGTCCCAAAAATCTTTTTAAGCTCCCACTTCATGTTCTCAATTGAGTTATAACGAGGACACACTGTACTTTAGGCCAGTAAACTTATATACTTATTCAACACTAATTAAGTAATTTTTCATTTACTTATTTTTAACACGTCTTTGAAACCATTTGTAATATTGTTTTGCCTTAGCAGTAACAAAATATAATGAGTGTCAAATCGTTATAATTTATACGTGTCACCCCTAAAGAAATCGAAAAAAAAATGTTTTTTTTTCTAAGAATAATAATAATAATAATAATAAAAAGACCCAATTATAACAGATCCTGTTTCAATTGGAAAAGCATTACTAATCACATCAACAAAGGATAACTAACAATAAGTGTGATGTCATCTTTCCGGACCACTCCCAAACTTGACACTAATGGACGGGACAAAAAGATTTTCGCCTAAAGGCGTAGAAATACAATTCTCCCCCGCATCACAAAGTCCCGAAGAAGGGTGGGGCATAAAGTCCTATGGTTCTGTTATTAGAAGCCCTTCACCGACTTAAGGGGGTGGAGGACTAACTGTTGAACACTTTAGTCATAAATTGATCCCCAGTTTTCAATAGTTTCTTTCGATACAATAGCCCAGACCGATGTTGTAAATAAACTACCTTACCTGTGTCCCTCTACCAATTAAAGTCGTTGCTTGCGGGAAAACGGCAAGCAAGACCTCTCAATCAACTACTCACACTCGCAGTCATTCACATGTCCACTTTACCTGGAAACTACAATAGACTTCCGGAAATAGCTTTAGGCTGCCGAATGGACTGCAATAATTTGCACACAGAACTAATGTTATTAACAAGCTTAAGTATTTTCGCTAGCAATAAACATTTTTAAGAGTCTTGTTTTCTTTTTTGGACTATTTAAACTTTCTAGAAACGAAAAAAAAAATAAAGTGTATCTATGCTTTGGGTGGCAAATCTTGGTGTAAGAAACGGGGGAAAGAGTTCGAAAACTTCTGGTGGACACAGGTTAAGAAAAACTCTTCTCGTTTGATCAGTGTGTAGATTCGATCGAAAAATTTTAGGAAAAAAAAACAATGTTTTTTGTAGAAAGCTTATGTGTATACTGTAAGTATATTTTAAAAAAACACTAACGAAAAATGATGTCCATATACTAATCAAGGGAATCTTTTTTGGATGTCAAATGAGGACTAGGTCCGATCCATACCGTTTGTATATATTGTTTATAAAATATATTTATTCAGATATTTTATAAAAAATAAATGTGTTGTCCATGATCTTGTTTCTCTTGTTTTTTTAATATTTAAGACGTAAGCATTAATTTTATTTCGATTTTTTTTTTTAGAATGACGCGTAGTATACGTGTCACTCTTTCAATCACGCTTCACGGTCGTAGGAAAATGGAACGTGACCGTATTTTAGACGAACTTTGACCCGAGCGACGAAGCCTTGGGAAATGCCATTTCTATCTGGAACAGTATCCATGTACTTAATGCTTTTAATATAAACGCGTTATTAGCTCACCTGTTTATTATTTACTATCTTTTATCGCTACTTATCTAAAATTGAATATTTAATATTAAAAATCTCTAAAAAGTAATAATAATAATAATGCGAATAACTGATTTATTTATTTCACATTTTAAATGTTTTTTTCTCGAATTAATATGAGGTGTTATATGAAACTAAATTACTGTTATTATTATTATTGTTTACTTTGAATTTCTAGCACGAAAACATAAAAATAAAGTTATGGCTGATGGCAGAAATTTACATTGTAAAACGTCACTTGTATAAAATTAGAAATCCGGGTTTTTTCGATGTAAAAGAAAATATATTTGTAGATAAAAATAGCTTTTATAAAGAAGAGCGCGCCTGTTCCTTCTGATAAGAACCTCGGCGCAATTCCCACGCTGGCCTCAATGCACACATTGCTCATACTTAACTGAGGAATTTTTACAATGTCGATGCACACAGAAGTGCTCGACCTCATCAAAATATACTAATTCCTCCCCTGTTATTCCTAAACCGTTAAAAATGATAATTATAAGTAATGGTCATTATGTAAACTATCGTTACATATTCATTGAAAGTGCAAATGTGGATAAACCAGAATACGTTTTTTTTTTTAAGTAGGACACGGTGATGGAAAGAAAATAGATGATGTTAAAGGTGACGACCTGACGTATATGTCACGAATCAAGTTAGATCTTACCTGTCTTCTAAAGAATTTCCTCCAGTGCGAATTTAGTATATTTTAATGTCGATATAGTACAATTGCATTAATTATATATATTGTTTTTTATATGCAAAAGAGAAAAATAAGCACGAATATTGCCTACTTTGACTGTGTTTTAATACTGAGAGAATAGGTTTAATCCAACAAACGTAAATACGAGATCGAATGGTATAAGGTGCTATATAGGACCGTATACTCGCATCTTTAATAAAGGGAAAGAACAGGTGTAGAAGGTACAAGGGTCAAAGTGTCGAATCTAAATTGCGAACAGTCACGGATATAATTCTAAGACACGAGAGATAAGAAAATAAGAAGAAACGGATTTTCATTTTTAAAAAACGTGTTTTAGTTATTTTTGAGAACGTTTCCAACCCCACGGGGGTTTAGTCGATACAAAGTACCTCGAGTCACGTTCTAGGATGTCTAATTTACAGGTTCTTCGCCAGAGGAAGATGACGAGATGGCTAAGATAGTAAAACTGGTGTGTGAAAACAAGTGAGTAATTAGTAGCGATTATGTCATGCACGGGTGGCACCAAATAAAAATTAAAAAAATCTTAACAACGGATATAAAATACATGTTCTGTGACTTATGCATTATATAACTCGTTAACAGTCACAATGCACGAGTTTCTCTAATAACATGCACGATAAAAATGTAATTGCATAAATTAAATAAAAATTCCTCTTATTTCTATAGTCACAACTATGAAATTACATTTATTGATTTACTTTTCTTCTCCGTGTGTCATCATATTTTGTACGTGTTTTAGTTTTTATAATAGAAGAAAAGGTATAAAATGCGATACTGAATTGTACGAGTATGATTATTTCAAATAGAATTTTAGCGTGACTCTATATTTTCTGCAGTTATAAGAGGAACTAAAAAGAAATGGACGAAGATATACTAAAATGCATTCACTCTATTTGTTTCTATTAAAAAAATAACATTATTATTTCGTACAGATCACGGAGATTATTTATTTATTTATTGAAATGAGAGCATTAAGTATACTTGAGCATTAAGCTATTAAACTATAAACAATTTTTAGATTAAGAGAATGCCTCATACGAGGTAAATATTTCTTAAATTTGACTGAAATTAAACAAATATTAAGCTCTTTTCGCTTCAATTCACTTGACTGAACTGGTAGAGGACGAGATCGAGCAGGAAAAAGATAAAGTGAGGAACGAGAATGGAAGAAGCTGAAGATTACACCACGTGACTATCTTTAGAGCAGAGGATATTTGTTACATTTCTAATACTTTCATTTTCCAGATTTTTATTTAGAAAATACATTCGAAATTTCGTGAATTTAATAAATTATATCTGTTTTTAATGCTTATCTTTAAACAAATATATATATATTGCGAAATGCGAGTAAATGCTAAATATAGAAATGTTAAATAGGCATTTTACTGTGTATACAAAACTTTTTTGTATCTTAAATCATTCTGCAATAATTAATTTAAGAATGATAAAATAATAATTAAAAAAACTACTGTCGACTTTATAAAATATTCAACTTTATTTATATATGTGAACAATAACGAGAAACAAAAACACTTTCGTAATTTTAAATTATAACAATAAATAAATAAAAATCGTTCAAAACACTACAACAAAAGAATAAAATTCTATAATACAAGAAACACAAACGCCTCTATTACAATACTTCTAATTTTAAAGTTTATAAAATGACAGAATTTTTCCTGTTACAGAAACAAAAATAGTAAGTTGACAATCTGTCGCTGCTTACTACAAAGATTAGGTTATCTTTTTATTAAATATTAAAATATCTACTTACTTATTTTTATTTTTTCTTTTAATAAGCAATCTTTTCTGTTGTATATTTTTAAAAAATTCTGAAAACTTTCTTAATTGTCCATCAGATTAACATCAATCTCAATCTGCATCTGCGCTTCTTAAATCCGAGCTTCCTCGTCATTAGGGCCTCTGGGCTGTACCCGAGATTGCACCTACTGTATATAATTATACAGTAGATCTACTTTACTTTCACGTTACAAACTGGTGTTGATGTATTTTCAAAATAACCGCTTAATGTAATTTGTCGATAGGCCTACCATTACTATTTTTCAACTTTTTACGTCTAATATAAATGATATATTGATAGTACTATGTGTTAATTATACTAAATAAGCTTATTATACGTCTTAAAAGAGTATTTATCAGCCGATTCTACTCATTATATCACAAATCTTTTTTGCTGTAATAACGTCTTTTTAAGAATAATAACTCTTGTATAATGCTTTATTATTAATATTTTGAATCAACTTTCTGGCAACGTCAATCTCTTCGAGTTGCCAGAGCCGGCTTTAACCTGGAAAAACTGTTTGATACAAGTTACTAAAATAAAACACCTTTATGTTAAAAAAATATATATGTCTACGGTAATTATATTAATAAAA